CCCCACCCCCCGTCCCGATTTTTCACACTTGCTATCTGGTTATCCTAGATCTTTTCCTTCTGTGTGTGTATAACACCTAGCACAATGGGGCCGCAGTCCTTGACTATCACTGCTGGTGGTATTATAAATAGTCAACTGCTGAAGTAATAATTCCTAGATTTTAGAGAGACTAGGGGGACAGTAGATGAGGGAGAGAATACGGAGGGGATGATGGAATGAGGATGGGATGGGGGAATGATTCTCAGTGTGCTGTGGAAGACTTTCCCCCTCCTGTTGCTTTCTGAGGTTCAAGAAAAGCTGCTGGCAGCCCTTCCAGTCCTGAGGTGAAAGGATTTAATCATCCTGCTGGATGAAAAGTGCTACAGAAATACAAGTCTATGTTGTTATTACACCGAATTGTAGCCCACAGGTAATTAGGATTTTGTCCTTATCACCATTTTTTAAAAAGGTAAATAGGCACGGAAGTCAGCCCCTCTGCAAATCAGGTCACTTTTGTCAAGGTGCCAAAAAAAAAAAAAAGATTTAGGTGCCTAACATTAGGCACCTACGTTTGAAAAGGTTGGACAAAGTTGATTTATGGTCCTCCTGTCTGTAAAGTACATCAACACTCTTTTCTTTAATCTGTTTTGGGCATGGTAGAGGTAAATTTCCTATTAGTGTTTTCTTTCTTTTCTCCAGAAGCTGCAGTGCATCACAGACACGGTCTAATTTTATAAAGTACCTATAGGTCAGGGATCTGGCATGTGTCATTTCGTTTCTGAGTGGACATTTCCAGTAAATGTAGTTTTCAGTTTACACTTAAGACGAGATGTCAAGATGACTAAAAAACTTCATGGTAAATTGCAAGTGAACTTTAAAAATTTGATTTGGCAAAGACATGCCATGTTCAGAGAAGTAGTATTATAATCCAGTAGATGTCTGAATAAGCAATCAGAAATTCTTCAGTAAAGAAAAGTCAAGGAATATAGTGGAAACCACTTGTGTTAATACCTTGGAATGGCATTAATCTGTTCTCTGCATGAAACATGGGCAATAGCTTGTGTGTGTGATTTAAGGTATGGACAGTATTTCATTTTAAGAAGAGAAGAGGAAGCATTGTCTAGTGCTTAAAAAGTGCAGGACTGGGTGTCAAGATATCTGAGTTCTGGTCATAGCTCTGCCAGTGACTTCTTGTGTGACTGTGGGCAAGTCTCCTAATCTCTCTCTGCTTCACTTGTTGTAAGTAATGATTACCTACTGTCCAGAATTGTTATGAGGCTTATTAATTCATTATTTGAGGGTGCATTGAGATCTTCCTGTGGAAAGTGCTGTTGTATAAGGTCAGTACAATATCTCTGAAAAGAATGACCCCCTCAAAAAGCCTTCCTGCAGCATGACAGAAGGTGAAAAGCACTAATAATTTCACCTGCTAAAAAAATAGAATGCATTTTTTTAAATCATAAAACACCTCATTAAACATTGACTTGATAGAGACTACTCGTGCTTAACTGTATGCTTACCCACTTTCCTGGATCAAGGACATACTGCTCAAAACCCTGCCAGTTTGAACCCCTTTGAGCATATTTCTTAGAAAGATATCCAATCCTGATTTAAAGACTTAAGGTGACAGAGAATCTACCACATCCTGTGGTTCCAGTTGTTAAATACTCTCACTGTTAAACATTTGAGCCTTGTTTCCTATTAGAATTTTTCTAGTATCAGCTTCTAGCCATTGGATCTTATTATCATAGAATAAATGCTGAACTTGACATTATTTATATAACTTTTCCAGCTCTTTGTCTGCTTTCTACAGCAAGGGTTTTACATATAAATTAGTTCTTTCACATGTAAAATGTAGCTTAAGGAAAATCATGCAGTACAGATTATAATTTCTACCTTTATTTCACATTTCAAAGTCTCCACAATGCTTACAAAATATTCATATCCATTATTGTTTAAGCTGTTAGTTAAGCAACTGACCTCCAAATTGGTTATGCACAAAATATTTCATATTTTTAACTTCCCTAATCCAGGGAATGTAAAACAGTTTTTGTGTCCAATGCAGATTTCAAGATAGAAAAAAATACAGTACATTATAGCTTTTCTTCCTATATTACTTACTAAATATAGTGTAATACAAGGAATAATATATCATGTAAAGCTCTATTACAAATCCTGCATTTATAACCCATAAGTACATATTCAGTTATTTTAAAATAATTTCTCTGTGAAGGAATGATCGTTTCTAACACCTTGGTTACACACTGTGGACCAAATCCTCCTTGCTGTTCTCATTCAAGTAGACCTCTAAAGTCAATGGGCAAGGGAGGCAGGATTAGATGCAATTTTTCATGGGCATGTTGCAACAGATGACATTGTCTGCAAGAGAGAGCTTGGACATTGTGTAAGCCTTTAGCGTACAGTGAAGCCTACTGAAAATCTAAATAAAAACAATAAGAGATCTAATACAATAATAGAAGCCTCCTCTCATAAAAGAGTATCATTTTACATAGGAACATAAGAGCAGCCATACTGGATCAGATCAATGGTCCATCTAGCCCAGTATTTTGACTCCAATAGTATCCAGTATCAGAGCTTCAGGGAGTATGGACAGAACAGGGGACTTTAGAGCAATCCACCCCTGTCTTCCCCTCCTAGTTTCTGGCAGTCAAACATTTAGGGTGGCCCTAAGTATGGTGTTGCATCCATGACCATCTTGGCTATAGCAATTGATGGACCAGTTGACCATGAACTTATGTAATTCTTTTCTGAACCCAGTAATACTTTTGGCTTCACAACATCCATAGCAATGAGTTCCACAAGTTAACTGAACATTGTGTGAAAAAGGACTTCCTCTTGTTTCATTAAACCTGTTGCCTATTAATTTCATTGGGTGAGTTCTGATTGCTGTATTATGGGAAAGGGTAAACAACACGTCTGTATTCACTATTTTAGGGCCATATCCTGACATCACTGGAGTCAGATAGCATTTTCAGACATAGTAGTGTTCTTAGTTTACTATAAACCATACTTTCTGCAATAAAATGCTGTATGCAATCTGTATGGACAAAGTGCATCTCTAGAAATCAAGTTTAACTTCTTAAAATGAAAAAAATTGCCCATAAAAAGAACAAAAGTCAGTCAGTCTGATAAATTCAAATTAGTTTGCCTTTAAAGTTAGAGAGCTGGACAGGTTGTTTAGCATTAGTAGTAATGGTTGCAAAGAGAAAATAGCAGGGTTAGAGACTGCAGTGATAAGAGCAGTTATGGTTACTCTGGGCCCATTCATGAGAGGTGCTGAGCACTGCAATGCAATGCAGTGCATTCCCTCAGCTGCCGCTGACCATGGAGGAAGTTTAAGGTGTTATCCACTTTGTCTGTTCCTGAGAGCTGCTCCCATTAACAACCCCCATTAACTGTGATTGCAGGTCCTCAGTAGATGCACAGGATCAGGCCCTCTACGGATCAGGCCCACTGTAACTAATACCTCTTCCCCTAACCCTCCGTAAGAGCCAAAGAGTTCTTAATAAGCCAGGAATGATAGTGTTGCACAGCAGCAGGGCCAGATTAAGGCAGGGGCTCTAGGGGGTGCAGCCCAGGGCCCTGGCTCGAGGGGGACCCGCAAAAATAAATCACAGGAAGCAATCTCCGGGCCACTAAAAGGGGCACTCAGGCAGGCTGCCTGCCTGCCATACCTCACACCACTCCTGGAAGCGGCTGGCTGCTGGCATGTCTCTGTGGCCCCTGGGGTGGGGGGGGGAGGTGGCTCCATGCGCTGCCCCTGCCTCCAGCACTGTCCCCACAGCTCCCATTGGCCGGTTCCCAGACAATGGGAGCTACGGGGCGGCACTTGTGGGCACAGGCAGTGTACGGAGACCCGCTGCCCCTTCCCCCCAAGGGGCGCGCAGAGACGTGCTAGCAGCCAGCCCCTTCCGGGAGTGGCGTGGGGCTATGGCAGGCAGCCAGAGCCCTGCTGCACCGCCGGCCGGGAGCTGCCTGTGGCAAGCGCCTTCCAGCTGGAGCCTGTACTTCGCATCCCCTCCTCCACCTCATCCCCCTGCCCCAGATCAGAATCCCGCTCCTGCACCCAAACTCCCTCTCAGACCCCACACCTCCTCTGGCACCTCAATCTGCTGCCCAAGCCCCCTCCTTCACCAAACTCCTTCCCAGGAAAAAGACTTCTATACAGGGGCCCCACAAAATCTAATAACCCACAGGAGCGTTAATCCGGCCCTGCACAGCAGGTGGTACTTTCTAAACTGAAATGCCCTTCTCTGTGTTCAAATGTTCCACTTTAGAAATGATCCAGCTCCCATTGCAGTCAATGGGAGTTGGATCAGACTCCATATGTCTGTGCTATCTCCGTTGCTTCCAAGCCTGGACTTCTCACATGTTAGTGCAATCGGTCACCTCTGAGCCAGTGGGCCAGTATGTTATAATAGCTCTACAGGTCTGATAGTAAAAATGGGCATTAATCTGTCCTAAGCATCTTCATACTCTAAAGCAGTTTCATAATTATAGGCTGAAGGGTTGAAATCCTGGAGTCAATGGGAGTTGTGACATTGAATTTGGACGGGCCAGGATTTCACCCTAGACGTCTAAGAAATGTTCTTTTAGCAAAAAGCAGGATTTCACTGTATTACACACCAGGAAGGATGAACCACTGATACAAATAGAGAAACAATTTAAAGAAAGGAAATGAGTATTCCCATAGAGAAACAGGAAGCGCGAATAAAAAACAGTTGCCATTCATGTTGTTTATCTTGGGGACCAAGACCAGTATCCTTGTAACCTTATAGGGTAATAAAATGTGATCCCTGTTAGGTTGCAGGATGAAGTCCTTTTATAGAGTTATTCTTTTTTCAGTTGGTTAGAAATTTCTCCCATTGCACATATTTTGGGATACTCCATCTTTTTTGCCATATTTGTGGAAATTTGTTGTAAACAGGACTGGCCAGTGATCATTTGGAGCCCCCTACAAATGTCAAAACAGGGGCCCTAGTACCTGCCACAAAATACTAAAATCACTTTAAACTCTACTTCTGCCAAGGGATTCCTGAGCTATAGGGAACCCTGTGGTTCAGGAGGCATAGAAGCAGCCCAGGATGTAAGAGATGAAGGAAAGTATCTAATGAAAATGTAGGACTCACAGACAAATGTACAAAACCAGGATTTCTAACAAACACAATGAATGAGTGAACTTTGCAGGAAATTAATAAGCGATTATCAACAAATGGTTCCTAATGTGGCTTGTTTCTTCATTTAAGTTGCCAGTTTTGTAGACTGCAGAAGTTTCTTTCTTCTAAACTAAAAGCCTTACAATGATTACAAATTAAAGGTATAATATAAATACAGAATTACACTGCAGACCAGTTAAGTTGGGGGGTGCAAGATCCTTGTGGCTGCAGGATACCACACCTTGCCCTAGCAAATCAGCGTCATCTGCGCATGTCCCTTCTGTTTGCCTGCGGCATGCCGAGGCACCAGGGAGCTTCCCAGAGGCCTTCAGAGCATACAGAAAATCTGCTTCAGACGACAGAGAGTCCTCCATTTAAAGAAATAAAGGAAGACTCCAGTTCAAGAGTCTGGAAAAGCTTTAATGATGGTCTCATAGGCAGGAGGAGGTGTTTGTGTTGAATGACAGATGCGGAGGCTGTTGTTGGACCAGTGGAATTCAGGACGAGTTAAGCTGTTGGTGGTGTTCCCCACAAGGGTAGTGGTGGTGCTGGTGGGAGCCAGAGTAATCAGCTGACTGTTAGTTTCCACAGGGAGCGGAGGGCATTGCAAAAAGGGGTGGAAAGTGGAGGCTCGGAAGCTTGACTTTCTTGGGAAGGAGTTGGCTTGCTCCAGGGAGGCTTGCCGCTGGAAGGTGAGGCTGGCCAGGCTGAGATTGCTACGGCGTTCGCAGCTGTTGTTACGGTAGAATCCAGTCCTGTTGGCAGCATGGCCCTGAGAAGAAGGTCTGGAACGGCGGCTAGAGATTGACGAGCTCCACTGCGAAATGTGCGCACTGGCTCTGCGACGGGACAGGCAAGTAAACAAAGCCCAGATTATCCCTCCAATCACCAATCCAATCACCATGGACACTGAGAAGGCTATTATCATCTGACCTAAAACACAGAAAATAAACAGCAAGGTTGCTTTATTTACCATACAGACTATTCAGTCTAGAAAATGAATTTGATATGGCAGGCTTCTTAAAATGTGCCCAAACAATAAGGATTAAAGATATTCATTTAGTGACATTATAGAGGGCACATGCAACTTGTAATTACGCTGCAACAGAAATACAGGGTTGGATGCTGATCTCACTTACACTAGCATTTAACAGTGTGACTCCAATCAGTAATTCCTGTTTGATACCAATGAGAGCAAGAGAAGACTGGAAGTGGAAGGTACTCAGTGAGCAAATTAATCAGTCAGTGTACACATGCTGCATATACTAGCTGAAGTTGCAGCACCTTTGTAAACAGTAGCTTTAATAAAGACGGGGTGCTAGAACACTTTGTATAGTGAGCATGCTGAGAGCCATTGAACCAAACTGTAAATCCAGGGTAGTCAATAGGCAGATTGTGGGCCAAATCTGGTCCGCCAGATGTTTTGGACCCCAAAATATTTTTATGTATTTATTAGCATTATTATAATTTTATTATTTTCTCTGGAGTCTGGACCTTAACTATACCTTGATCAAGAAATCTGGACCTTGACAAAAATAACTGACTTAACCCTGTATATAATGGAAACCTCTTCAAGCCAGCCGCCCCCTCCCCCCCAACCCCACACACCCTATGTTCCAGCACCTATGAATAAAGAGCCACATTAGCTTTTCAAACTTGGAGTCCACTCACATTATTACCTGGCACGTGAAACATCCAGAACTCCCCCTGGGATGAGACAACTCCTTACTGTGGACTATGACTAAAGCACCTAATTAAAGACCATTGAAGTCAGTTGAAAGATCCCTACTGATTTCAATGGCGTTTGGATCAGTCCCAGATACTGCAATCTACTCTAAGATTTTGGGCCACCACATTCTTTTATTACTGTTTTGTTAAAAAGGAGAATAATTTCGTAACCTTATCTGAAATTTAACAAAGGTTTTTGTTTGGGAATATTAACTTAGCGTCAGGCAGGAGAGTCCTTGCTCTGAATTCAAGTGCACAGCCTCCTGTAGAGAAGGATTTATTCATGCTAGGGCAAGCCTCTATTTCTCCACAATAATTGGGAGTGATTCCCTCCCCCACTGAAATCTCACAGCAGCTGAATAGAACATAAAACAAATAAATGAAGTGCTATGTATCGGACAAGCAAATTCTACTGTCTGGGGATTCTAGCAGATTCATGCACAGAACATGTCATATTCAAGCTGCTTGACTTTGGTTGGGTTGAAGGAGGATATATCAGAAAGTGTCTGTTGTACAATGAAGAAGGATTATTTTTGTCCCTTCCCTTTTTAACTGCTCTCCCTCTCATGTTCCTGAAAGCATTTCCTCCCTTGTGCTGGGACAGTAGATCAGCACATGCTGATGAGACAAAACTTGATTCAACCCAAAGCATGCATGCTATTTGGAGACTCATTTTTTCCCTACTGCCCAATCCACAAAATACAGTGTTTTGAAGCTGGAAACAATGGTCGATCAGGTATTTTCCATCTCAGGCATGCAGACTTCCAGACTGCAAGCCGGCCAAATGGCCTTCTTCATCACAATTTTGCCTTAATGCTAAATGAAATAATCTGTGATATGGAAAGCCATATTTGAGCAGGTGATTGAAATGTAATGTAGAACATGGACTAGTGGACAAAAGATGAATTGCACCTGCATCCAATCAGCAAACTCTTAAATAACTGGAATAGAGAAACTGTGAGTGTTGTGATTATTCTGCTACAATAAAGCAGTCTCTTCTCAAGTTGTCAGCCGTAGTTCATTCTGCAATCTGATTCATGCAAGATCACAAGCAAACAAACTAAATACATTTTCCTAGCACTTATGAGATATGGAGTTGAACCTGCTAGGGTTTGGACATTGCTTCTAAAAAGCCCAGCAAGATACTTGAGGCTCAGATCAATAAGCCAACCCATGTGGCATACAGCATTATTGTTGTGTGTAGTTTGCCAAAACAACATCCCTACAACTGACAAGTGTTTAGAATTATTCTGTTCCCTGATCTTTATCACTAATTGCCACGTCCAAACAACCCTCTGATTGTTTGTAACAAATTCCTGATTCAGTAGGCTGGGTGAATCAGTGGGTTGGCAGAATGAACCAGCTATGATCTTTGTCATGGCAAATGTTGGGAAAGGTCACAGTGTGGTGATGGTGAAAAGAACAGAAGTGATTGTCTGCAGCACAGACTGATTCAGGTAATTGGGACATTGGGAAAACAGCAGGCCTGATGGTGGTGGGTTAAGTAGGCAGCTATCTAACACTCTTCTACCTGAAGGGTTTCTAGAAGCTTCTGGAAATAAATCATTAGCCAAACTGAGTCAATAATAGGAAAATCATGAGTCCCTGAGGTGTTGTTATTATGTTTGCCATCAGGAGAACAATGCTCATGAACAGAAAGTACAGAGGTTTAAATTTCATAACCAAGCCACCTACCTAGTAACAAGATTGCCCTCTGCTGGCAATCTACACTGATGAAAATAGAGCAAAAGATAAAAGTTTAGATGTTGTGCTAGAAGTACACACAGCAAATATTCAGGAGATGGAGAGCACTATGACCAATGCTCTATTTGGTAACTACCAGAAACTCAGGAGGATTCTGATCTCTCTGGTGTAGACTCTTGGGTTAGTATCCTGCTCAGAGTTTGGAACACTCACGTGAAGGGGAATGTTCAAACAAACTTTGTGAAGTACTGTTTACAAGGGATTTGTGAATGTTTGCATTAAACTATCTATCTTAGGGTTGGAGCAGTAAACTTGCTTTATGTCTACATTACCAGCCTTTGTCCTTGATAAAAAGCTGAAAAGAAAAGTTTAAGATGCCATATGAAAATCATAAAAACCAAGTCAAGCTCACTTGATTTCCCTGGTGAGCAGCATTGAAAGGGGTAATAAAGACAGAGTAATTCTAATGACCAAAAGGAAACATCTAAGATCAAGACATCAACGTGTTTAATTTCCTGACATCAGCACAGTCATGTAAAGAACTAAGCAAAGCAGTAACTCGCTCTTCTAAAGAATCCTGTGTGAAGGCAGTTGTAGAAACTGTTACTTCAGGGCTTCAGCCTATTTTCCTAAACGCTACTGAAATAGCAACATATGGTTTTCATCTGCTCACACGTGCAGCGCACGAGCCTCTAGCACAGCATTACTGTCTATCTCGTACAAACAGAGTTGGAGTAGCATGCACTTTTAAAGAACTTAAACCAATTGAATGTACTGATACAGTGAACATAATTCCACAGTGCAATATTGCATAACCTTTTATTGTAGTAATTACTTAGCTAATAAGAATATCCTATAAAACCTGACAGTAAAATCGTTTACAATTTTGATATTTAACATTGTGGTTAAAATGGAGACTCCACAAATGAAGAGGGATTTCTTTAATGGGATACATGGTAGTTAGCAGCACAGTACAATAAAGAAAATGTACAGTATTGGATCAAAGATGCAGATCTTCAGCTTGATGTAAGGACTTGAGAGTATGTGATACTTTTAAAAGGTCCTCAGTATTAACACATGCAATTCTATAATATTTTTGTTGGCTGCCTGATGCTGAAGGACATCCTGCTGGAACCTAAAGCATTAGAAAAATTTCTCAAAAACAGTCCCTCATTAAGTAGAAATCTGTGACCACTGAAATGCTGCCAAGGTCAGTGGAGAGAATTCTGCTGATGGATTTAACTTCTGCATCATCAGTTCAAAAATATCCCATGTGTTTCCTTAATGAATCAATTTATATTCTCCATTACTTGTTCAGATTGTCCCATTTCCCCCCATTCTTTCCCCTCTCTGTATTTCTTGTTTTCACTTGGAGATTGTCTCATTATTTTAGCAGTTAGTGCATTTTGTTGAATACTGACTTCAGGCTGGTAACACGGAGGGAAGCCTAGTCTAATCTATATAGATTCTTATAACATTCTCATCACCATAATATCCACTAATGTTAAATTTAGTGTAGCAGGGAAATTAAAAATTGCATCTTCTTTTTTTGTGAATGCCATTTTGAGAATAAAATAAAATAAAATAAATAAAAAATAAACTAATGGAGATATCCCATCTCCTAGAACTGGAAGGAAAGGTCATTGAGTCCAGCCCCCTGCCTTCACTAGCAGGACCAATTTTGATTTTGCCCCAGATCCCTAAGTGGCCCCCTCAAGGATTGAAATCACAACCCTGGGTTTAACAGGCCAATGCTCCCCCTTACCACTACGCTTGGTCTGTGTTCCTCCAGTGGAATGGTTGAACCCTGAGAAAGCAGTGATTGTATGAGCAAAAGGATCAGGAAGGTAGTAGTTAGCAGAAGGCAACATACATAGCCTGCAGGGACAGCACACAAGCATAAGATCATGCCCCCTCACCATTACAGGCTGCAGCCACTGTAATGTTTACTTCAGGTTTAGCAGAAGAATGGCAAAGGAAAACTAAATTCCCAGTACAATGCACACAGTTTCTCTCTCCGGTGGGTCTGCACCTATGTAGCTTGTGATTTGTTTTATCTGCTTGCCTGTGTGGATCCCAAAATTCATCAATGACTTCATCTGAATTATACCAAGGATACATTTGGTGTCTTCTCTGCCAAATCTCCATCCTCAGCAGTCCCCTGATAGTGACATCAGTGCAGTTACACCAGTCTAAAACTGGTCTAAATAAGACTCATTGGAAGAGGGTGCATTAGTGTTTTAGTTTTATATTTACTGAAGTTTATATAAATGATAATAGTCTATATTTGACATACAGTAATGAAGGGGCTAGCTAGAAAACAAAACACAGTAACAAAGCTGACACACTACTGTCCCTCCCAAGGAAATGGTGCCTCCTTTCAAATTATGACCTCTACTCATACTCATGATCAAATTGGGAGGAAGTTTCAGCTTCCTGCAGTTGTTGGGTGGGTTGCAAAATTGGCAAGCACAGTGCATGGGTGAATATCAAGTTGCTTC